TGATAAGAGCCAGAACTGGGAACCCAAGTGTCCATCAGCAGTTAAATGGACTATATTATGATATATTTGAACAATAAAACACCACACAGCAATCAAAATAAACAAATTGTCCTAGACAAAATATGGATTACTCTCTTAAAAACCAAAAGAATATCACAAAAAAATTATCAGAGCATGATTGTATTCATTTAAAGTTCAAAAACCAGCAAAACTAAGAATAGATAGTTTAGGAATGCACTCTTACGTGGTAAAACTATGAAAAAAGAAATAAATGATCACTTCTCACTTCCAGGTGGAAAGAGTTGGAATTGTGAAGGGGTGTATGACGCAGGGGTTGCTGGGGTGCTGGAAATGTACATTTCCTTCTACTCTTCGGTGGTTACAGAGATGTTTGCTTTGTAATCATTATTAAATTGTACCTAAATGTTTCATATACTCTTCTCTGTGGTTCATATCTCATAATTTTTAAAATGACAATAAATTGCCTGATCTTGTAGGATATTCCTTTCATTTGGAACTTCTTAATACCCTAGTCCTTGTGGCAAACAGTCTTGAAAGAATATTCCTTTTTTTGATTTGGATCTTTTTAAAAATTATTTTATGTATGTATTTATGTATTTATTTATTTAGAGACATGCCTTGTTCTGCCACCCAGGCTGGAGTACAGTGGCGCAATAATAGCTCACTGCTACCTCGAACTCCTGGGCTCAAGTGATCCACCCACCACAGCCTCCAGGGTAGCTGGTACTACAGGTGCACAGCACCACACCCAGATAATTTTTTTTTTTTGGTAGAGATAAGATCCTGCTATGTTTCTCAGGCTGGTCTCAGAATTCCCGGTCTTAAGCAATTCTCCTGCTTTAGCTTCCCAGAGTGCTGGGATTATAGGCATGAGACACTGTACCAGCCTGGATTTTGGTCTTTTTCACTGGATAAGAATATAATACGATCAATTCCACAGTCCTTACATTGCAATTTACAAGAGATATTTCATAAGTAGGTAATGAAGAGAAAGGGACAAAATTAAGTCAACTAAAGGCTTCGCTTTTGGGATAGGCTCAGTGTGTGAAGTGTGCTAGGCACTCAGTGGGAGTGCGCTGCTGTCAAAACAGGCCCTGGCTACTGCTGCTGTGGCTGACTCAGAGAGGGAGGGTTTCTCCATCTTCTGTCTTGGGCAGAATAATTTATTGTAGGCCACCTGGTAGATAAGATGCAGGATGCTGTGAAATTTAGAGTTCCAAGATGTTTTTCAGCCAGAGACATTTGAGTATTTGGCAAATTCTATTTTCAGATACTCCCCTCAGGACTTGCTTCTTTAGTTCATTGAGCATTGATATTTCTAGCCACGGCTTTGGATAAAGCAAGGAGGCCATTCTTAATCTTATGCCTTGCAAGTTTATTATCTTGCCAGTATTCAATAAAATGTAGAATCATCTCTTATAACAATGTGGTTGTTTTCCAGCAGATATTAACAGCAGATTCTGCATCTGAATGTCTTTAAAGGTTAAGGGTTCAGGACAGCATAAAGCTGGGGGTGATGATGAAGAATCATTTGGTAAACAAGCACATAAATACATACTGAGTACAGAAATGTTTCTTTAGCCCATGATGCAGCCTGTTTGGGCTGGCCCAGATGAGTGGTGATTTCTGCCAAACAGCAGTGACCTTGTTCCCACCGAGAAATAACTTACTGTGTCTCAGTAAGTTATTTGTTTATTCAAAGTAAGTTACCATGTTTATTCAAAGTGGTCTTTGCTATTAGTAGTTGCTGAGTTTCAAGATAAAATGTCAAATATTGAATGTCACTAAGGATATCCGTATCTCTTCTGCCCACAACGCACATGGGCTAGGAAGGGAAAAATCTGAGCCAGTAACAAAAACAGCCAGTAGCCACATTAAACTACATCATCTGGGGAGCATCCATACCCTACCTTTGGTTTTGCCTTTATTGACATGTAACTTTGGATTAATAATGTAACCTCTTTAACTTTCAATTCATTGTTTGTAAATGTGAGTGAGGTGTTTCATGGGTATCCTGGAAACTTGTGAAAATGAAATGAAATGAAAGACGCAAAACTGCTTTGTTGACTGTAAAACTCTACACCAGGGTAACGTTACTTTTAAAATTTTTCTAATTATACATTTAATATTTATTATTCATTACAACAACCCCAAAAATTAAAAAAATTCCTGCACCAATCTTAGTCTTCAGAAGGGACCACATTTGACAATTTCGTGCTTACCTTTCTACACTTTATGAATGTGTGTGCATGTGTGTAGGGGCTGGTGGGTGGGGTTAACAAAAAAGGGATAATATCCTACTAACCAGTAAAATACTATGTAGCAATTTTTCTTTTTTTGAGAAGGAGTCTCGCTCTGTCGCCCAGGCTGGAGTACAGTGGCGCGATCTCGGCTCACTGCAAGCTCCGCCTCCCGGGTTCACGCCATTCTCCTGCCTCAGCCTCCTGAGTAGCTGGGACAACAGGCACCCACCACCACGCCTGGCTAATTTTTTGTATTTTTAGCAGAGACGGGGTTTCTCCGTGTTAGCCAGGATGGTCTCGATCTCCTGACCTCGTGATCCACCCGCCTCGGCCTCCCAAAGTGCTGGGATTACAGGCGTGGCAATTTTTTTTAATGAGGTAAATTGTCACATGATGACATGGAATAATGATATTTTATGTGTAAAAGTTACAGAACAACATTTATCATAGTGTTTATGCAGACACAGAGTTCATACATGGCTACTTCTGAGAAGAATATATTGCAAAGGAATGAGGTAATTTTATTTTATTTCTCACCATTCTCCACCATTACGATTTTTTTCTTAAGCACATATATTTTCACAATAATTATTAAAGACTGTGCAAGAGGAGGTGGAACATGAATCAACAAAATAGAGACAATATGTTACTACTGAAGATGCAAGTATAAGTTATACAACATTAAAAAATGTTTTGAAAGGGAAGAATGTACAAAAAGATATTGGAGGCTGGGGGCAGTGGCTCACATCTGTTATCCCAGCAGTTTGAGAGGCTGAGGTGAGGAGATTACTTGAGCCCAGGAGTTCGAGACCAGCCTGGGCAACATGGCGAAACCCCATTTCTACGAAAAATACAAAAATTAGCTGGGCATGGTGGCACATGCCTGTGGTCCCAGCTACTCAGGAGGCTGAGGTGGGAGGATCACTTGAGCCAGGGAGGCAGGGTTTGCAGTGAGCCAAGATCTTGCCACTACACTCGAGCCTGGGTAAGAGTGAGATCCTGTCTCAGAAGAAAAAGGAAGAAGAAATTGGAAAATGAAATAAAGGAAGTAAAAACGAAAGTAGGCAGGATATGATTTTCAAAAGCATTCTTTTAGGGAATGAAAAAAAAAACTGATCATGCTGTTTCTGCTGCCAACTTTCTTGTTACACATGACTCTCAACAACAGGATATTCCGCCCTGAAGCTTAGTTCTCTTTAACGGCCTTATGCAGGCAAGGTAAACAGAAACCAGCATAAGCGTTTGCCAAAAGAGGAAAAAGGGCTAAATAAGACCAGTGCTCAATTATTTTATAAAGTTTTTGTATATCATTTTTTAAAATTCAGAAAACAGCCATACATTTGGGGAATGGACAGGAGTGACAAGCTAATGGAAGACAAGGATCGCTGAAAAGTCCTGGCATTATAAAGTTACAGAATTTTATCTGTAGATATAATTGCTCTCACCAAATCTTTAGAGCCTTTCTATCAATAAATCCTGCTGCGTCTATGTACAAAGTCTACCCTGAATCTATCTACTTTTTCCATTTTGGTCCCCATCCACTCAGTTCAAGTTCACTCCCACCTATTTCCACTGCAGTGGCCTCCCAATTAGTCTCTCTACTTCTACACTGGCTCTCCTGCTTCCCATGTCATTCCTTTTCTCTCAAGAAAAGCAAATCATCTTCCTAAAATGCTCATATGATGAAAATCAAAATCCTTCTCTTGGTTTCCAGGCACAGCACACTCAGTCCCTTGCTCATTTTTTCAGTCGCCTTTCAGGTTTCCAACTCTGCTAACATCTTTTTCACCCTAGTCTTTGCACATACTGTTCCTTCAGTATGACTGAAATGCTCCTTCTTGCTACCCTACAGGATTCAGTTTTTAAAAAGCTTCCCCAAATCCCTTCTCCCCTAATCTAAATCAGGTCGCAATTTGCATTTGTTTGTATGGTATTGGTTTTATCTGTATGACTGAAATGTTCAGTGTACTTTCAGAATGACTGAAATGCTCGTTCTTGCTACCCTACAGGATTCAGTTTTTAAAAAGCTTCCCCAAATCTCTTCTCCCCTAATCTAACTCAGGTCACAATTTGCAATTATTTGTATAGTATTGGTTTTATCTGACTTCCCAACTCTGTTGAAGCTGCGTAACAACACTTGGAGGCTCATAAAACCATCCTCTCTACTTTTGTGTTTATTTTAAATTTACCATAACATATAAGCTTTAACACTTTTCCTCTGATCCTACAAACTAAAAACAACAGTTGTTGCCTGCAATTCTCTTAACTACTTTTTCAAATTCCATATTTTAAAAAGTTTATTTTCCTTTTCATGATTAATTTATTATTGTAATCCTATTAGAGTCACAAAATGCTCTAATTTTTGAATGCCCACAGCAGGTTCGGCTAGAAGCCCAATGTGCCATCCATTGTGCTATAGAACCAGTTAGAATGCCATAATCTTAAAGTTCCTAACAAGATGTTGTAGGCAAGAAAATGAACTTGAAATTAACATCAGATAACCTAACAGAAATGTCTGAAGTTCAATTGTTCTGTCACTGTTTTTGCTCCAAAAGTCTTTTATTTGAAAAGGACTCTAGAACAAGGATATAAGACTTCCTTTAGTTCTAGTTTTTACTTTGGATGAATCATTTTCTTTTTTTGTTTGTTTGTTTTAAATAATATTATAAAGAGGTTAAGCTCTATATTTTAATTTCATATATAAAATTCCACAATTTGGAAGAAAAAAAGCAGTCCTAAAAATATCAATGTTTATTTTTTCATAAAGCAATAATTCAAAACGACTTTTTTTTCTATTCATTCAGAAGGTCATAACCCAGGAGTGCTGTTTATACTAGATGAATCTACAAAGCCAAGAACAGGAATCACTGTATCTCCTTCAGTAGACCTGATACTGTGAGTCTTCTCTTTTCTGTTAACATATTTGTGCAACATGCTGTAGTACGGGTCCTTCTGATTGAAAGTATACAGTGATGAAATTTGCTGCCACTCTTTAACGCTCGGAGTGTTACATTCTTTCGGATGGGAGCCCTCAAAGAAACATTTAACATTCTCTTTTGCCAATTCAGTTGCATGCTCTGTGGCTTTACTTTTAAGGATCTGCTGCTCCTGTTCCAAATAGATTTTCCAGAATTTCAGCTGCAGAAAACTAACTGGAGACAGGCATCGGCTGACACATGTAAAAATCAGAAGGATGATGATAACAGCTGCTATCAAGATCCAGCCCAACACCTTAAGAAAACACAAAATAGTAATTTAGTTACTTTTTTTTTTTTTACAAGAAATTTAAAAATCCCCAGATAAAGCTTCAACTACTCTCCAGTTACGACGATGAACAAGCAACAGTTTTAGGTCTTAATTCCTTAAGAGTAAGGTGTCGCAGTAACCTCCCTCGACCCCCAGTACAACTGCTTGCTTGAAAGGTCAACTCTAGTCCAAGTTATGCACTGTGATTCTGCCCAGGGAGGAGCCCATACCACTCCTTTAGAACTCAAAACGTGGAACTTCTGCAAATTCTGGGAAAGAAGTGTTCATTTTAAAGAACTTCTGAGCTTTCCTAGTCCAGATGCAATGTGGGGTGCTGGCTTTACAGCCAGACAGACCCATTTTATTGTATAGACCCCTTTAATTGTAACAATTCTTCTGCTTTCTACTGACTGGGCAAACTACTTAGACTCAGTGAAGTCGCTATATAGTGGAGATACGAAACTATTACTTGTAATGGCAAAACCGCTGTTGTGAGGCGTAAAAATAATGCAGGCGGTCAAGGGCCTAGCGCAATATCTGGCACAGAGTAGGTGTGCCCACTCTCACTCCCACTTTCCACGATTCATGTACATTGGCAGATACTACAGGAATGCTTTTTTCTCCTTTTCATGCGTTTTATTCAGATATTCGTTTGACGGCAAATTAGATGCAAGGAGCCATTCTAGATTTTCTTAGGCATTGTATATCTGGAGAAAAGTCACCGATTTTTCCCTCACCCCAGACGCCCAGCGAAATCTCGGCCCCTCGGCTCTCCCCAAACGCCCCCAGCGCCAGCGGCAGACCTGCGACTGAGCCTTCAGATCCTTCAGGAGGTCCTGCACGTCCGACGCCTTGGCCTCGTGGCAGGGCACCAGCGGCAGCTCCGCGGCGCAGCTGTGGTCGCGGTCGAGGCACAGGCGCTGCGCTAAGACCGCACTCCCGCTGGCCGCGCACTCGTAAAAGGCACCCCCGAGCAGCGCCACGGCCACCCAAGTGAGGGGTGCGAGCGCGGCGGCCGCGCTGAGCTGCGCGCACACCAGGGAGCCGCGCAGCCCACATCCGCAGCTCGCGCGGGCTCTGCAGCCGCAGCCGGTGATCAGGCGCCACGTGCGTGCGCTCAGCACATAGCCCAAGAGGAAGAGCGCGAGCGCCGGCACCAGCAAGAAGACCAGGCCGTAGGGCAGGTTCCAGGCGGCGCTGCACGGGCACTGGAACACCACGGCGGAGAAGATGCGCTCCCCGCCCGCCGTCAGCAGGGTCACCAGGCCGTAGCCCAGGGCGCTGTGGTGCTTGAGGTGCAGGTCCAGCACTGCCCGAAACTTCTCCATGAGCCTCGTCCCCCGGGACGTCGCGGACAGGCCCTGATCCTTCTGCCTCTTCGCTGTCCTGCTTGTCAAATGGTTTTGGTGGACTGGGGACCATGGCTTTCCACTCTTCGAGAAGCAGCTGTTTTAAAAGGGAAGAGGGCTTCTCAGACCTTCCTAAAGTTTCACTTTCTCATTTCAGCCACACCAGCTCTGGCTAACGAAGAGAACCAGGCAAACAGACACCCCCTGGACCTTTGACCTCTCTGGCACCCACCCCGTTCCAAAGGCAGAGGCACCAGTTATCTTCCTCCCCCAATTCAGGAACTCTGACAGAAGATTGACCTTGTTCCTTTGTTACCACCAATCTGACAACGAACCAGGAAACTACGTTCTTGACCCACAGCCACCAGTTGGGAAAACTGGGAAATACCAGATTTTCCTCTATTGCAGCCACCCTAGTCACTAAGCCAGATCACAGTAAAACCAAATAATTATCGAAAAACTGACTACTTACGGGAAACATTATTCAAGGACAAATTTCTGGTTCCTCCTTCATAAGCTAAATCATAGCAAAGTCCAGCTCAAGTTCTGGTACTTCTATGACGTGCGGCACGCTTTCTGTCTCCCTCCTGGACAGAACCACCAGCCTAGTTCACACTGACTCTTCTCTCCTCTACCTGATCTCCTTCAGGGCATTAGACCAAATATACTGTATTGATTTACTCATCAATACAATGTCATTTTCTTTCAGGTATGTCATAACACGGTCAGTGTTATAGGAGGGTAAAATTCTGACTCTGACCACCAAGCTGATCAGCACAGAAGGGGATACATGATTGTTCAAAGAATACTAGTTGAACCCAAAATTGCAAACTGCAGCTACATCTATCTAATGTTGTTGTTTCCTCCACCTTCAGTTTTCTGAAGGCAGCATTGTTCTGACACAAACACTGTAACCACTTTTGTGATATTGAGTCTTACTCTGTGTGACTCCAGAGTAGGTTACAGTGAGCTGAGGTGTGCTTGAGAGAACATGGAGTTTGAAGTCAAGCACATCGTGTCTGTGGTGTATTTAACAAGTATGCCCCTCTGAGACACAGCATCCTTATTTGTAAAAGAAGGATAACAGTGCCCACTTTTCAAGATTATTGATATGAGTAGATTGAGCAGCATATGTAAAGTGTCTTTACCTATAGGGTGTGTCTATTAAATGAATGCTCAGTGTGACAGTTTACCCCTTACAGTGCAATTTGGGGAATAGACAACAAATAATTACACTATACATAACTTAAGAATCTTGATGAATACTGAATTTTGAATTTTAAACCGAGGATCAATTCAGTGGATAGTATTAAGTGACTCAGTGACTCTGCTACCTTAAGAGAATTGGTGTACACCTTAGCTGTCTGCTTCACCACAAGGAGGCATCTGGATATGGAGCTTGGGCGGGCAATTCACAGTGAAATGGTTCTTATTGGTGCCCATCCACTAGGCTTGCCTGATTTTATCTGAGAAGAATAGGTAGCCCGTGGAACCAAATGAATTGTTAGAGAAGGAACAAGAAATTTATTATTATTTTCTTAGTCCAACTTGCCTTTTTAACTACTCTCCCTCCAAAACCACCAGCAGGGTGCCTAGCATAGTGCCAAAAGCTGTCATTCCATAGTGGTGTGGTAAATAGATATCTTTTTCTGTGTGTTTAGAGGCTAACCCCAGATGAGGGTCTTCATGGTCATGCAGGAAAGTTGGAGCCCTCTTCTCTGAGTTTAGACCAGATACTGCCAGGCTTCCTGTCAACTTGCAGCAAAGTTGCATGTTTGAAGCAAATCACTTCTGCTATGACCATTATCTTTGTAATTTTTCATTTCCCAAGATAAACTTCTTCCCTTGTGCCTTGAGTAACTCTCCTCCTACTGCTGCACTCTTCTTCACCTCTACCATAATACTCTATTGTGTCCTCTCTCCTCCATCCTTCCCATATTCCATCATGCACGAACATCAGTATATCCACAACCTTTGTGCAGATGGCTTTATCCAAATCTCCTCTAACTGAAACCTAATAAAAATGCACCCTTCTGTCTTCCTGAGTGAGATTAATTTATTCTCCCACATCTCTCAAACCAAGCGGGATGGCTGACATTTTCCTGGTTACCTACTGATAGCCATTCCAGGGTTTTACCACTGTGCTGTACTAGTTTATCATCCACTAAGGCTCAATCTAATCAGCACCATCTCCTCCTTCACCTCATTCCTATGGTCTGGTTTTGTTCCCTTCATTTATTAAGACTCTAATGAAGTCCATCACCTTCTCTTCTCTGGCTTCTGTTATTTAGTCAATGATTTGTTTGAAATATGTTTACTTACAGAAACTTTAATCTATCAGCTCCCTCCCCCAAATAGATTCATTCGTTTGTTAACCAGTTATTAATTACTTCATTTGTTCATTCATTCATTCATTTATTTAAATGTTTAATAAACACTCAGAATATGTCAGGTATCTATCAAAAGTACTTGGAATTGCTGGATACAACAAGGAAGAAGACACAGGTATCCAGCCATCTTTGAACTTATAGTAGAGATGATATAGCAAATGGAGAGAAAGGGTTCTGAAGATTATGCACAGGATAAATTGGAGTTAGAGAGTGTCCTGAAAGAGCCTCTATGAGAAAATGACATTTAATCTGAATGAGTCTGGGGTACAAAGGAGCTTGGTTGGAAAGAAGGCCAGAGTGATGGGAGCATTGAGAATGACAGGCAAGTTGGCACATCATGAGGCCAAAGCTGCAGGTTGGAAGGTCAGGTTTAGGTGCTTCATAGACCAGAATATGTAGTCTGAAATTCTGCCTCTGAAACTTATCACAGACTGAGCTGCATCCTGACATTGTGAGCTTCTGTCTCTTAAACACCCCTTCCTGGGTTTGCTGTTTTTGTACTCTCCTAAACACAAATCTCCCAGATGCAATGATCATTCAGAACTTAGTACAGGTTTCTATAATTGAGAGTCCAGGATTTGCCTGCCAGCCTGAATGTTTCCCCAGCATCTGGCTTTGAGTCTAGTACCTCGCCATCCACTCCCACCACCACTGGATTGACTGGTTCTAGCTCTTGGTCTATTGAAGATTCCCAGCCCTCCATACCCAGCTCTGTTCTGAGAGGATATTGCTCAGAAGTTCAGCCCTTAGTGGAAATTGACTAACACCCTAATGGTGTGAAGAGGTTGACTAAATAATATTTTAAACGTCTTTACACTTTTGAAAGGCTGTGATTTGCTTTAGCTGTTAAGAAATGAGTAGTAGAATGTCGTCAGCAAAGCCTGAGTCCTGTCCTCTTGCTCTCCTCCCTGGACAGCATGAGCTTCACCACTTGCTCCGCCTTCTCCACCAACTACCATTCCCTGAGCTCTGTCCAGGCACCCAGCTTCATCGTCCGGCTGGTGAGCAGTGTGGCTAGTGTCTATGCAGGCACCAGGGGCTCTGGTTCCTGGATCTCTGTGTCCCGTTCCACCAGCTTCTGGGGCGGCATGGGATCTGGGGGCCTGGCCGTGGGGATGGTCAGGGGTGTGGCAGGAATAGGAGGCATCCAGAATGAGAAGGAGACCATGCAAAGCCTGAATGACTGTCTGGCCTACCTGGACAGAGTGAGGAGCCTGGAGACTGAGAACTGGAAGCTGGAGAGTAAAATCCAGGAGCACCTGGAGAAGAAGGGACCCCAGACCAGAGACTGGAGCCATTACTTCACGACCGTCAGGACCTGAGGGCTCAAATCTGCGCAAATACTGTGGACAATGCCCGCATCGTTCTGCAGATCAGCAGTGCCTGTCTTGCTGCTGATGACTTCAGTGTCAAGTATGAGACAGAGCTGGCCATGTGCCAGTCTGTGGTGAGCTACATCCATGGGGTCCACAAGGTCACTGATGACACCAATGTCACTCAACTGCAGCTGGAGACAGAGATCGAAGCTCTCAGACAGGAGCTGTTCTTCATGAAGAACCAACCGCGAAAAGGAAGTACAAGGCCTACAAGCCGAGACTGCCAGCTCTGGGCTGACCGTGGAGGTAGATGCCCCCAGATCTCAGGATCTTGCCAAGATCATGGCAGACATCCAGGCCCAATATGACAAGTTGTCTGGGAAGAACTGAGAGAAGCTGGACAAGTACTGGTCTCAGCAGATTGAGGAGAGCACCACAGTGGTCACCATGCAGTCCACCGAGATTGGAGCTGCTGAGATGACGCTCACAGAGCTGAGACATACAGTCCAGTCCTTGGAGATCGACCTAGACTCCATGAGAAATCTGAAGGCCAGCTTGGAGAGCAGCCTGAGGGAGGTGGATGCTCGCTATGCCCTGCAGATGGAGCAGCCCAGTGGGACCTGATGCACCTGGAGTCAGAGCTGGCACAGACCCAGGCAGAGGGACAGTGCTAGGCCCAGGAGTACGAGGCCCTGCTGGATATCAAGGTCAAACTGGAGGCTGAGATCACCACCTGCCAATGCCTGCTGGAAGATGGTGAGGACTTCAGTCTTGGTGATGCCCTGGACAGCAGCAACTCCATGCAAACCATCCAAAAGACCACCATCTGCTGGATAGTGGTTGGCAAAGTGGTGTCTGAGACCAATGATACCAAAGTTCTGAGGTATTAAGCCAGCAGAAGTAGGGGACCCTTTGGGGAGCAGGAGGCCAATAAAAAGTTCAGAGGTGAAAATAAATAAATAAATAAATGAGTAGTTGAGTCTCACATTAAGCACAGTGTAAAGCCAATGGTTATGGGTTCTCTTTGGTTTCCTTTAACTGTAGTACTTTGTTTTTCAGCACTATCATTTTCAATGTCAGGAATGGGTTTCAGAAACCACAGAGCATTTCTTGGAAAAGAAACTTCTTGAAAGGAAATGCACATACCCACTGTGAATCTGAAAGTGTCTTGCATTTGTCTTCATGTGTGCTAGTTCTCAAACATTGTTCTCTGCAGCTTTCGTAAGAATGCAGACTAATGGCATGACCCTGCTTGGAATGTGACTGCTAGATTCTCATACAACATTAGTCTTGGCCCCAAGACCCTCCAAAAGGAGTAAAATCAAATTAGGATTCAAATATCATAGGTAACATGTACAAGAAGAAATGCCAGATGCCAAATTAACAAGTTAGTTTACAAAATCTGACACTCCTACTCTTAAAGGGAGTATCTTTCTGAATGTTAAAATTTGTGGGTGTATTGCTCATGTTAGATAACATATTTGAAAATCTGGAACATGCTATTATCTTGATGTATTTCAAATGTTTATAAAAGTTTTTCCAACAGAAGTGTAAAGCAGAAGGAGGGAAAGATCAGACTCTTTCCTTGGCACAGAGCCGTCATTTGTTAAATGGCAATCCCACAACATTTCCAAAAAAATCTCTTTAAAGATTTTTATTCCTCTCTTAGCATGAATTTCCTATGCCTATCACAAAAGTTTTAGTATTTAGTGATTAACACACTAATTTTTTTCTTGCAGCAGATGGTTATTTTAACTCTGTTAAAAGAAAAACCATAGCCACATTAAATTTAACATAGTTTAATTGAGCAAAGAATGATTCATGAATC